AAAGACAGCCTAGATACATTTACGAAAAAACTACTAAACAAAGCAGACAATTAAACAGAGCAGAAAGATAAAGATGCAACAGCAAAAAGATAACAGGACAACAATAAACCAATATATAACAGTTATAACCATTAATGTAAATGGTCTCAATGCACCAATTAAAAGAAACAGACTGGCAGAATGGATCAAGAAACAAAATCCAACCACATGTTGTCTACAAGAAACACATCTAACCCAAAAGGATACCCATAGATTGAAAGTCAAAGGATGGAAAACAATACTTCATGCAACAGGAACCCAAAAAAAGCAGGGGTAGCTATTCTGTTTGCAGACAATGTGAACTTCAAGCCAATAATGATCAGAAGGGATAAAGAAGGGCACTACATACTGATTAGGGGAAAACTCCAAGAGGAAGAGATAGCTATCTTAAATATATATGCACCAAACTCCAGAGCACCCAGTTATATAAAACAAGTACTAACAAAAATGAAAAACCAAATTAACAGTAACACAATTCTAACAGGAGATCTTAACACACCACTGACACTCTACAAACCTTGAAGACATAGGAGTAGGTTAGGAATTCATGAACAGGACTCGAACCACATGAAAATCCTTCCCAGAGTCAATAATTGAGATTGCCTCTTATTAAAAAGTTTCTGCATTTCAAAAGAAATCTCCAGCATAGTGAAAGGAAAACCCACAACCTGGGAAAAAATCTTAGTGAACTGCCTCTCAGAAAAAGGACTTCTGTCTAAAACATATAAAGAATTTTTAAAAAATCAGATCCCCAAAATTCAAAGACCCAATCCAAAAATGGGCATCTGAGATGAATAAGTAATTTTCAGATGAAGAAATACAAAAGGCAAATCAATACATAAAAAAATGTTCACCGTCACTGGCCATTAGAGGAAAGCAAATTAAAACCACACTGAGATTTCATCTCACTCCTGAAAGAATGGCCAAGATCAAGAAAACCAACAACAACAAATGCTGGAGAGGCTGTTGGGAAAAAGGAACTCTTTTGCACTGTTGGTGGGAGTGTAGACTAGTGCAACCATTGTGGAGGTCAGTCTGGAGATTTCTCAGAAAGCTGGGACTGGAAGCCCCATTTGACCCAGCTATTCCTCTTCTAGGCATATTCCCAGAAGAACTGAAAGCATCATACCACAGTGATATATATGCACCCATGTTTATAGTAGCACAATTTGTAATAGCTAGATCTTGGAAACAACCTAAGTGTCCATCAACAGAGGAATGGATAAAAAAGTTGTGGTATTTTTATATAATGGAGTACTACTCCACTATAAAGAATGATCACAATGAGATATTTATAAATAAATGGACACAGCTTGAGACCATATTCATAAGTGAAATAAATCAAACTCACATGTATAAATACCGAATATTTTCACTAGTGTAAGAAATGATAAGAATACATAAAAGTATGTGGTAAACATGATTCTCAACCACATTGGTTTGAAGCCATATAATGTTTTCACTCATTAATTGCAATGATTTTAACTTGGGTTATTTGATTGTAGTATCGGTGATAGTACAAATAGCTATTTTGAAGAAAACAACACATAGTAAAAGCTAGTGCTGATTTAATATCATCTTGTTTTGAAGTCCCATCAAGCTGTTGTACATCTGTTTCCACTGGCTTTAACATATTGTATCTTACTATACTTTACTATATGTGATAGTATAAACAAAATTTTTTATAGGCAAAAAGATAATATAGAAACTGTTGTTCATTTTCTGTTAACTGGTTCTAAATACCCTATAATTCTTTCATTCTCTTGAATGGCTCCCACTGTTTTGTTATGCTTAATGCTCTAGTATATGAAGTTATACTCAAATGTTTCAAGGAAAGAGACACTATGGTAACTACTGTTATGTTAGATTATCTGGTGGTGAAACAAAATGATGCTTAAATTGTTCAGTTCTGACCTGCGTTGTTCTGTTATAATGTCTTCTTTTATCTCAATCTCCCCCCTTTTTAAATTAATCTATTTTTTTCTCATTTTTCTAATTAAGGGAAAACTAAATTAGAAAATAGCGGGATATCTTATAGTAATTTTTTGTTTTCCTATTAACCTGATTTGAACCCCAGTATTGCTCTCCCCATCCCCATTTTGGTTGATAGTATCACGTTTGAGGGTATAGGCAACCACTTTGAAGGCAATACGATTTATTATGATGCCCATTATGGTTTGACTATTATCTTCTTTTGAAGTCCTGTAAGGTCTCCAGTGTAGGTTTTATTGGTTCTGTTCTGTACTGTTTTGATCAATTGTATTATACCTGAAGATAGAGGCAACTCTTTTTAAAAATGAATTTTTAAATGGTTACCATCAAAAATGGTAACCATTTTTGATCACCTGATATTCTATTTTTGCATCATGTACTATGCCCATCCTTCAGTTCTAACCGACTCTGTTTTGCTTAGTCACGTTAGGTTTTATTCTCTTCAAAGAAAAAGTAATAAGAACTGTGGGAGTAAAAAAATCCAAAAAGTGTAACTGTTATTGTATAAAAGAGAGGAAAGGAAGGTCATCTAAGGGATATAACTGCATGTATGTTTGAGTGTGTAGGATGGAAAAACATATTACTGAGATTTTGTTGGATCATTGAACGGAACTGTCTGCAATCTCACTGTATGAATGTCCACTTTATATGCTTTAATTTTATAATTTGGACAACTGTTTCTAAGATGACAATATGTAACCTATTAACTAGTGATTTCTTAATGTATATTTTTTTCTTGTAATTCTGTATTATTTGTACCCTTTTACTGCTTTGTTTTTTTTAAATTTCCTTTCTTTTTTTCTCTGTAAATAAAAAAAAAATATCAGCACAGTTCTTTGGGCCACACAGATTGCAATTTTATGAAACAGAATTGACAACCAGTGCATTGCCAGGCACCCGCGGAGAGCACATGCAAGGGAGGGGGCTTTCAGGGAACATGCGCATTAGAAAGTGGGGAGGCGCATGCGCATTGGGTGAAGCGTTCAGGGAGCATGCGTGTTGGGAGGAATAAACTCCCCAGTAACGGTAGTGGCCCTAACGGTTGGGCGAGTCCTGAGGCTGCCGTGGAGAGCGACCCACAGCCCCTAAACAAGGACTATGAGGAAATGGATGAGCGTTGGAGGAAGACCGGAGAAGCGCGTCCAGTGCCGTCCTTGACACCTCGCGCCTAAGGAGCCCAAGCAGCCGCGCGTGGACGAGGCCCAAAGCCCAGCAGCCCGGAAGGGACACGCCCCACAGCCCCCAAGTGTCTGTGCTGGGCCTCGGTGAGCAGCGCGAGGGCGCGGGGCCTGCAGGGGGCGCTGTAGCCTGGATGGAGATGTGCCGACAGGGCCCTGAGGTAGGAGCTGAAGCTGCCTGAAGAATCCTGGCCTAACTCAGTGGCGACTGTGTTTAAAAAGTTGCCTTAGGGTCGCTGCTCTGACTCTGCCTCTGGCCATTTCCCGCACCAGCCCACCAGTGCTTTCCTCTCCCTTGGGAGCCTGGCCGCATGAACCTGCCCTGCCTTGATGAGTCTCTTACCACAGTGAAGCAGTTGCCTCGGTCCCACCTATGCCACAGCATGTCATGTCGCCCTCACCTGCAGAGCCACCTGGCAAACACACAGTGTCAAGGCCTCAACTTGGAATCATTCACAGCCCGAGGAGCCTCAGGGGCCACACCACACTGCCCTAGCTAACCTGCAAGATATGGACAGCTCTCATATTTTTGCATTTTTTTTCTTTGTCCTTATCTGGAAGCCAGACCCACGTCGCCAGTCCCCACATGTATGTGGCAGGTCCCAATCACAGCTGTCCTGGGTTTCCTTCTCTCAGCTCACCAGTCTCAAGTACCAATGTATCTCCAAGAACAGTAGCAAGGGCAACGTTGGCCACGAGTGCCCAGACTGCTCCTGTGGCTGCTGCCAACACAGCTCCTCTGGCACCCTCAGTTCCTCAGCACATGCAGTGAACTCCACAGTGAACTCTGCATTCTCTGTGGATCCCCAAGCATAAGGTCCCTCAAGGCAGGGATCAGTTGCCCAGCCAGTGTTTAGCACCCCAGTTAGGTTTACCTCTTCTCCCGTCAGACACCACTCTAGAGTCCACGCTGTCCCCTACATAGCTTTGATGTCTTCCACATCAGTGGCCACAACCTAGGCACAAGCTAAGGAGCCAACCACCAGCACAATTTCAGTGCCTTCTGCCAGTCAGACCCCTGAGGTGGAAGCCACATCCCCCAAAACACTTGTCATCTACCCATGGAAGTGGAAGGCTAAGCACCCCCATACATCAGAGCAGGTGGAGACCAAAGACACATCTGGAACTGGCTCTGCTGTATGATACCTAGACCTCAGGGAACCCTTAGATGCCAGCTACAGGTTTGCACAGCCCAGCACCAAAGGCAAGTGTTAGGGTAAACTGAGGCACTATTGAGCTCACCGAGGCAGTGAGGCTTTTACTGCAGATGGGATGCTGTTGGGCCAAGGGCAAAAAACCATTGGCCCAAAGCAAGGAGACAAAGCATGTTTTATGAGGAAGTTTAGGTATGGGAGGGAGGCACTGGTGAAGGGGTGCAAAATGTTGAGTCTCTGAGTAGGGTTCTGGGGCTGGTTGACAGGAGAGTGTTAGTTATGGGACAGTGCTGGCAGACTCAATGTATCTATTGTGGTTTTTCATAGAATCGGCTATCTGCAGGTTCAGCTATGGGGGGCAGCTGCTAGCTGGTTGAGCTGTGTAGGAAAGCTGCTAGCTTCCTGTCAACACTGTGCACTTGTTGTGAGTAACAGATCTTCTTGGGGAGTTTCTCTGTTCTGGTTTGGCCAGGAATCTGGTGTAGAGACCTGACTTCCAGTACCTAATAGTCACTATTGAGAGCGTGTCCCCATCCTCAGTGATCAAAACATTCCTTGTTTTGGTGCTTATACTTAGGGTGACCTTTTGTCATCATATTGGTTTGATTTGCATTGCAAGCCTACAAGAGCTACAAGGAGGATTACACACAGGTGGTCTATCTAATCAATGGAAGGTATAGAGACTTGGAGACATGAGTGTAGGCTGGGACTGGCTTGGGACCACCACAGTTTGGGGCAAGTCCAGCCTCTTCCTCTGCCTTTTTTTTTTTTTTTTTTTGCCTCTGAGACCCAACCAAAAGCTTCTAGATCCTTTTGGTGCAATTTTGGAGATATGCAAGATGCTTAGACACATTTAACCACTGTCAGATTAATTCTGTGCTTACAAAAGGGTTGCTACTGTGTTATATTTATTTTTGTAAACAAGCAAATAATTCTGCTGTGCAATGGGTGGGGTGGGTAGAAGTCCTGGACCACTTGGCCCACAGTGTGTCAGAATTAGAGTAATGGCTGCTCTCCACTTAAAAAATTATAAAGAACAGAAAATATAAATGTTATCTTAGGGCATCCAGTGACACAGTTTATAAAAATGACTAGCTGTCTCTTGTGGACAGATATGATATTGTTCTGCATTTAAAATAGAGTATGCTGTCAAGTATCGATATGCATTTACTTACATTTTGTTATGGAGTTTTAATATCTAAAACTAGGATTTAAAAAAATATAACCATTGGAAATCTTTTCCTTCTCCATTTACAGCCTTTATTTTCTATAGCTCGAGAGAGAACTAAATTATTACTGTCTCAATGAAACTTATTGTGAGGTAGTTCCTTGGTCAGGTGGCTGGAGATATGAATGGAGAAGTGGCTCGATCTCTCTTAATGCAAGTTGTCATTGATTTTCACCATGTGTTGGTTGGCTGATGTCCTGGTAGGAGAATTTGTCCTCATATGTGGTGTAGTGATGATGCAGGAGGAGTCTGTGTAGATTTTACCAGCTGTGTAACTTTGTCTTATAGACACATCCTGTAGTCAGAATCAGCAGGCCTTGGAAATCATTTTCCAAATCCAAGCTTCAGCATGCTGGAGCATATCATATGGAAGATACCTGATGAGTGAAGCAATGATTGACCAATGCAATGTTTCTGGGACTCAGAAGAGGCAGTTTATACTTCAGGATGGAAGTCGGAAAGGAAATCAGCAAAATCAGCAAAGGCTTTCAAGAAAAGGTAAGATTTAAATTATGACAAAGCGCTAAGCTTTGGTGTGCCACTTATGCCAGCAAATATTAGGGGCTGGAAAAATGGTAGGATGGAAATCATCAGCATCCCTCCACATGAGAACAGGTAGACTGGAAGAAGGTTTCTGAAAAGGAGGAAGTAGGAAGTGGTTGAAAGATGGTTTGGGAGCAGTCTTGGAAAGCCTAATTCATAGCTAAGTACAGGGCATTTGAACCCTCTTCTAAAGGAAGGTAATGATGGGTTTTTCTCTGTAAAAACTTTTTAATGAGATGAAGTTACAAAAGCCACTTTAAGCACATTCGCATTTAGTACACTGAATGATTTTTTTTTATTTAAGGAGAAAAAAAAAAAAAAACAAAAAGGGTACAAGTAACACAAAATTTAAAAAATAAACAGTAAGAAATCACTAGTTAATAGATTACATATTCTCATCTTAGAAATAGTTGTTCAAATTACAGAATTAAAGCATATAAAGTGGACTTTCAAACAGTGAGAGTGCAAACAGTTTTGTTCAATGATCAAAAAAAAACCTCAGTAATATGGTTATCTATCTTACACCCTTAAACATATATGCAGTTATAACCTTTAGAGCACTTACTTTTCTTTTCTTTTGTACAATAACAATTACACATTTTGAGTTTTATTACTCTCACAGTTCTTATTACTTTTTTGAAAAGAGTAAAACCAAATGCAACATATCAGAACAGAGTCAGTCAAATCAAAAGGATGGACATAATAGATAATGTAAAAACAAAATACAAGGTGATCAACAATGGTTGCCATACTGTCTCTTGCTATTTTAAGAAGAATTGCCTATATCATCAGTTATAATAAAATTGAACAAAACAGTAAAGAATAAAACCAAAACATTGGAGACATTACAGGACTTTAAAAGAAGATAATGCTCAACCAGAATGGGCTCATAATGAATCTTACTGTCTTCACAGTTGTTGCCTATACTTTCGAACTTGGTACTATTAAGCAAAGCAGAATAGGGGAAAATCAGTCAAAACAAGATGGTGAGGGCAATACAGGATTTCAAATCAACTTAATAGGAAATCAAAGTAGGTTACTATAATGTATCCTGCTATTTTTTATTTTTCCCTTAATTAAGAAGATAAAAATAAAAAAAGTAAATAATTAAAAAAGGGGGATTCAGATAAAAGAGGGCATAACAACAGAACAGCACAGGTCAAACCATAACCATTTAAGCAAAATAGTGTTCCACCATAAGAGATCCTGACATAAAAATAGTTACCATAGTGTCTCTTTCCTTGAAATCTTTGAGTATAATTTTGTATACTGTAGCACTGAACATATCAAGGTACTATAAAACCATTCAAGAGAATGATATTATTACAGGGTATTTAGAGCCAGTTAGCAGAAAATGAACAATGGTTTCTGTATAATCTCCTTGTCTATAAAAGTTTTTGCTTATATTATCATATATAATAAAATCCAATAAGATACAACCTTTTAAGACCGATGGAGGCAGAAGAATACAAGTTTGATGGGACTTCAAAACAAGATGATACTAAATCAGCGTTAGCTATTATGATGTCTTGTTTTCTGCAAAATAGCTGTTCCTACCATCCAATTTTCTCTGCCTCATTTCTGTTGAGCAATTTTTCTGTCGTTTGTTGTCAGTTTGTCTTCTTCATTTCGCTTTCTGCTTCATTCATTGTGTCCTCTCTGCCACTATTTATGGAATGTTGGTATTTTCCTTTTTAAGAATATCCTGCAGTATTCTCTGTAGAGTTGAATTGGTGTTTGCAAACTCCCCTAGTTCCTCTTTATCCTGGAAGCACCTTGTTTTTACATCAATTTCTAGGGACTGTTGTGTAGGATATATCAATCTTGGCTGGAGGGTATTATCTTTCAAAGCTTGAATTATTTTCCCCCATGTTCTTTGTGATTTGATGGTTTGTCTGTAATTCTGATGGGTGTTCCCTTGTAAGTGATCTGTTTCTTGTCTCTAATGGCTTTTAATATTTTGTTCTTATATTGGATTTCTGGAATTTTGATTATTGTATGCCTGGGTGTAGCTCTGTTTGGGTTGTAGGTAGCTGGGGTCCTGTATGCCTCATACATCTGAGTATCTTTACCATTTGCTAAATTAGGGAAATTCTCTTGGATTATTTCTGTGAATAGCTTTTGTAGTCCATTTGTTTGTGTCTCTACTTCTTTTATGTTCTTAATTCTTAAGTTATAGATCCTCTTATCATCTTCTAGCCTTTGTATTATTGCCGTTTTTTTTTTGTTATTTTTAAGAAGTTTTTCATTTCATGCTCCCATATTACAAATCTGCCCTCCAGTTCAGATAATCTATCCTTAGTTTCTTTCAAGCTGTTATGCCAGTTTTCAATAGAGTTTTTAGTTTCCTGGTAATCTCTTTGAACCTGCTTCATGTATTCTATGTTTTCTCTATTTTCTCCATCAAATAATTCTCCCCTTTTTTTCTGTTCTTCCATTCTTCCATCTGTTTTTTCTATGGTGGTTCTTAGCATTCCTCTAACTATTCTACTTATATCTTGCTTTAGGTCGTTAATAGCTTCATTCCTGAACTCATCTATGAGGCTCTGGAGATACTGCTTTATGTTTATTAGTGCTGTGTCTGATATTGCATGTTTCTCAGGATTGGGGGCCAAGGACCATTTCTCATTGCTCCCTCTTCCCATATTTTTTGTTCCTTTTATACAAGCATATATAGGAGGCCCAGTTTCTTTCTTTGTTGGTTACAGTTTGTTTGAATTGTGCTGGCTAGGTGTTCCTGCCCACTGCAGTGTACTAGGGAGACACAGACCTGGGCAGCCTCTGCTGGGCCTGCCCCTCCAGGTCAACCTACCAAAGGCTTCAACACTAGGGTGCACTCCAGGCACTGGGACCTGGTTTGGGATAGCTTACTGGGTCTTAGTCAGCAGCGTCATCCAAGCCATGCACTCCCCACCAATCCTGCTTGAGAGGGGAATATGTGACTGAAGTCACTGCAGTGCCCTGTTCCAGCTAGTCTGCCCGGTCCCAATATGTCCTTCGCTGAAGCCTCCTACTCTATGGAAGTGTCCCTGATCCGCTCACTCACCGCAGGTCGATGCAGGGCTCCTGGCCAGTCCCGCTCTCAACTCCATTCACCACTTCCCACTTTCAGAGCTTTCCCACCTCTCTCCTTGCCCTGCCGATTGGGATGCAGCAGCAGCTGCAGGAAATTTAAATCACGGCTTCCAGTGGCGCAAGCTCCTGCTTCCTTATCTGTTCCTGTTATATCACTGGGATTGTGTTTCCAGTTGGTTAGTTTCTCTTAGTTTAGTTCATTCCTGGGTTGGTAAAGTATATCTCCCCTTGCTTAGGACTTCTTGCCTGGCACCATTCCTGGATTTTAAGTGCAGTTTCTCAGAGAGCCTCCGAAGCTGCTGCTATCTATCCCCCATGTTCTCCTGGAAGTCACACTGAATGATTTTTAAATAGGAGAGTGACTTGATCAGAAATGTGGCATAGTATACTGTGCAGCAGTCCAGAGATGGATTGGAGATTGACTGAGAAGGGTAGAGAAAGCATGACTGGAAACTGCAGTGCTGTAAAAGTGGGACGTAACAGTAAGGATAGAGAGATAGGGACAGGTGAAAGTTGATGGAGAAAGATTCCAAAGAGTAGATGATGTCATGGTTTACGTCTGTGGCCCCCAAGCCTCATGAGTTTGCACTGTGCATTTGTGATGGTTCATTGTCTAGTGCTTGAGTTGATAGTGTCAACCCACCCACATGTGGGTGGAGCTAGGATGTGATGTAATGGCAGGAAGAAGGTGTGTCTTGCTTTTTGCTGGTTCCTGCTTGTTGTTTGCAGCCACCATGAACTGTGGCCCAGCCATGCCCGCCTGTCTTGGAGCTAACTGAGTATGGACTGAAACCTCCAAAAACTGTAAGAAATAAACCTTTCCTTTCCCAACTTGGGCTTCAGGTATTTTGTCTCAGCAAGGAGTAAAAAGTAACTAAGACAGAATTTGGTACCAAGGAGTGGGGTCATTTGCTGTGACTATACCTGACCATGTTTTTCAAGAGGCTTTATAAATGGCCTGTGGGCAGAGTTTGGAAAGGTTCGGACATGTTACTTGGAGGCATAGAGCTGGAGCAGCTTAGGTTGTTCTGTAGAGGAAATTCTGGTCAGTGCTCAGGAGACCAGAAGGCTGATAGAAAGCCTGATGGTAAAGACCAGGCTTGGGAGGTTTCTGCTGGGAAGAAGGACTGCATTGGTTGTTGGACTTCACATGATATGTGTTATGGCTTGGCAGAAAGTTTGTTTGCATTTTGCTCCTGCCCAGAGACTTTGCGTGAGACTGAGACAAAGGACTATGGATTGATTAGTCTTGAAAAAGAAATTAAAAAGCAATCCAACATTGAGGCTGTGGCATGATTACTGTTGCAGGCTTTTAGCCAGCTTTATGTTACAAATCAAGAGCAAAGAGCCCAGCAGGATAATCTGCAATACTGTGAGTTTGACCAGAAGGAAAATTCTAGGAAGGCTGTGGATTGTGAAGACAGAGTTGAGATTTTGATTGCTGAGGGGAAACAGAGAGATAAGAAAGATGGGCCCGGGGCATCCCAGGAAGTGGGTCCCCAACCTTTGCAGCCTCACTGCAAAGGTGAAAGAATTTGCTCAGAGGAGAAGGCTGCAGAGCACCATGCTCCAGAATGGCGACTGAGACCACATGAGGTTCCAGAATGGCGACAGAGGCCACGTGAGGCTCCAGAATGGCAGCAACATAGAGAAGCTTTTCCTCACAATCATGTAAACAGAGGCCTGAGGTCCAGGCAACTGACCCCTACAGCCAAGAGAGAGAAAAGCCTGGCTACTGCTCCAGCTAGCAACAAACCTTGGCAGCATCCACAAGGTGCTGATTTTCGGTGCAAGGAAAATGCACAAATTCTGAGGGTAAGATGGCTTCCACCCCAATTGCAAATGGCCTGGCAGGCCAAACAGTATGCCCCTGAGAGGGCAATTTGTGAAGAAGTAAAGGTGAAGCCAAAGGTATAGTGGAGACCCCAGAAGTTTGGAAAAACCAGGAATGTGGATGATCCAAGGGAAGCTGCAAAAAGTGAGCAGAGAAGATTTAGTAGAAAAGCTGGTGGAATCACTCAAGCCTTTTGGAGCTTGCAACCAGTTTGCTTCAGATGCTGAGCATGGATGCTGGATGTTGGGCTTGCTTTGTTTCCAATACTTTCTATTGCCCTGTTTGTAACTTTTTGCATGGTAATGTTTATCCTGTGCTTTTGCATTTTAGAAATGTTAACCTTGTTTCATTTGTACAAGGGGTTACAGTTAAGAGTTTACCATAGATCTTGGAGGAGACTTGGGACTTGGACTATTCAGCAATGCTGAAACTGTTAGGACTTTGGCAACTCTTGGAGGTGGACTAAATGTCTTTTGTATAAAGGATATACATGAGTCCTGGGGGCCAGGGGTGGAATGTCATGGTTTACCTCTGTGGCCCTCAGGCCTCATGAGTTTGCATTGTGCATTTGTGATGGTTAATTGTCTAGTGCTTAGGTTGATGGTGTCAGGGCTCCACCCACATATGGGTGGAGCCAGGATGTGATGTAATGGCAGGAAGAAAGTGTGTCTTGCTTTTGGCTGATTCCTGCTTGTTGTTTGCAGCCACCATGAATTGCGGCCCAACCATGCCCACCTGTCTTGGAGCCAACTGAGTGTGGACTGAAACCTCCAAAAACTGTAAGAAATAAACCTCTCCTTTCCCAACTTGGGCTTCAGGTATTTTGTCTCAGCAAGGAGTAAAAAGTAACTAAGACAGATGGTAAGGTAGAAATGGAAGGAAGAGGAAGGAGAAGCGATGTCATCCAGGAATGAAGACTGTAGCCTTGGAAACCATCTTTGTAAAAATCATAGGTAAAACTTGAAGATTGAATAAGGTTAACAAAGGATACCAATGTTGAGAGATAAAGGCCATAAAGTAAATGTACTTTAGGAAAACAAACTTTCAGGGATGAAAGGAAGGGAAAAATGTAATGTATAATATGTGAGTGTTTAGCAAAATTGAACTAGAAGAGTTTGTATGACAGAAGATTGGAGAAAATATAAGAATCTGATCAAATACTGAAGGAAGGGGCTGGAGATTTAGCTCAGTGGCATAAGTGCCTATCTGGCAAGTGTGAGGTCAAGTTCAGTCACCAGCACCAAAAAAACCCCCAAAAGCAAAAAAACAAAAAACTGAAGAAAGATTCAAAACCTTAAAAACTTGAGGAAGGCCATTAATTTTGATAACATAATGTTGGTGATTTAAAATAGTTACAGAACTTTGTTAAAAAGAAGTAGACCAAGAGTTTTGTCACTGAAAGAGAGAGACACATAAGATTTGTTACCTCACAGGAAGAGCTTTAGGTTCTAGGAAAGGAAAGATTAAAGAGGGGGAAGGGTTCAGGGAAGGAAGTAATAGTGAGCTGGAGGATCCAAGAAAGGGAAGATTGGAACGAGCAAAATCACCGAGTATTTGGAATGGAGTAATGAAGGCATAAATTTGTGACAACAAAAGCAAGGATTACTATATAAAGAAATAATTGGAGAAATGTAAAACTGGATCTAAAAGAAGTTGAGAGCTTGTTCTTACTTTGTTTCAGTAAAGTAAGGAATTTGGATTTATTTTATTAGCCAAACTGAGTAATTTTTAATTTTTTAAATTAAAGTTGGTGGTTTGTAAAATGACTTGGGACTACCATAAGAAATACAGTTACAAAATCTTGGAGAGAAGTAGGACTTCTTAAATAGTGAAATAAACTCATTTCTCCATGACAGTGAGGAGAGGATACTTGGAAAGCCACCAGAGTCAGTGTTTTCAAGACTCTGGAAGTTAACTCAAAGCTTACAGCAATGTAAGTTCAAAAAAGATGCAGGATCCTACTAAGACCTGTGGGGTTTGTGATGTTTTATCTTTTTCTATCCCCATTTTCACTTCCTAGCCTGTGCTGTCTTTGGAAACAAGCAGCTTTCCAGTGATGGAAGGGGTGGATTGAGCTTGGAACTCTTCAGAAGGCCCCACACCAAGGTCAGTGTTCCAGGGATCTGTCTCATGGTTCTCTATAGCCTCACTGTCTATAGCCTGAAGTGTGTGCTGGGCCATCTCTCGTGCCTGGGTCTGGGAGCTCAGGAGAGCTGACAGTTCTTCAGGGAGGTGTAGGTGGAGATTTCAGGTGTGCTGCTGAGAAAGAGCTTTGCTACCTTTAACCGTCTTCTTTTTTTAGTTAGAGAAAAAAAGAAAAACAGAAGAAAGAGTAGAAATAATACAGAATTTCAATAAAAATGTAAGAAATCACTAGTTGATAAGTTATATATTGTCATCTTAGAAGTACTTGCTCAAGTCACAAAATCAAAGTATGAAAAATGGACAGTCAATCACAGTATAAAACATTCTGTTTGATAAACTACAAAAACTTAGTACTATGGTTATCTATCTTGTACACTTAAACATACATATAGTTATATCCTTTAGGGCACTTTCCCTTTCATTATCACAAAATCTGTTGTACATTTTGGATCTTATTACTCTTTCAGGTTATTATATTTTTATGCTAGAGAGATAATACAGTATAAATATAAGTCTGATTTATTTTACTTATGAGAATAGTCTCAAGTTGCCTCCATTTACCTATAAAAGCCTCAAGATTATCCTTCTATATAGCCAAGTAATATTCCATTGTATAAAAATACCACATCTTTTTCATCCATTCTGTGGTTGATGGGCATTTTGGTTGTTTCCAATATTTAACTATTACAAATTGCACTGCTATAAGCATGGGGGCATATATATTGCTGAGACACGACCTTTTCAATTTTTCTGGGAAAATACCCAGGAGGGGAGTAGCTGGATTGAATGGAACTTCCAATCCTAGTCTTTTGAGGAATCTCCATACTGTCTCCATGGTGCTGCACCAGGCTACACTCCCACCAACAGTGTAGGAATGTTTCTTTTTCTCCGCAACCTCACTAACATTTGTTATCAATTGATTTCTTGATGGCAGCCATTCTTTCTGAAGTGGGATGAAATCTCTTTTTTTTTAAATTTTATTTAAGGAGAAAAGGAAAAAAAAGCAGAGAAAGGGTACAAGTTATACAGATTTACAGAAAAAAAATAAACAGTAGGAAATCACTAGTTAATGGATTACATATTGTCATATTAGAAATATTTGTTCAAGTCACAAAATTAAAGCTTGTAAAGTGGACATTCCAACAATGATACTGCAAACAGTTCTGTTCAATGATCCAACAAACCTCTGTGATATCATTTCCTATCTTATACACTTAAATATACATCCAGTTATATAGTTTAGAGCACTTTCTTTTCCTCTCTTTTGTGCGATGATTATTACACATTTTGGGTTTCATTGCTCCCACGGTTCTTATTACTTTTTTGGAAGAGAGTAAAACCAAATGTGACATAACAGAACAGAATCGGTCAAGTCAAAAGGGTGGACATAATAGATAATGTAAAAACATAATACAAGGTGATCAACAGTGGTTACCATAATGCCTCCCGCTATCTCTAATAGAATTGCCTATATCATTAGTTATAATACGATTGAACAAAACAGTAAAGAATAAAACCGACAAAACCAAAACATTGGAGACATTGTAGGTCTTTGAAAGTAAACAAAAGTCAACGAGAATGGGCGTTATAATGAATCTCATTAACTTCACAGCTGATGCCTAAACTTTCAAACCTGATACTATCCAGCAAAACAGAATAGGGGAAGAGATGAAATCTCAATGCTGTTTTGATTTGCATTTCTCAAATGACCAGTAATGTTGAACATTTCTTCATGTATTTATTTGCCCCTTGTATATCTTCATCTCAGAAATGTGTGTTCGTCTCTGATGCCCATTTGGAGAACGTCTTTGAATTTGGGGGGTTTGATGTTTTTCAATTCTTTATATGTTCTGGATACAAGTCCTTTGTCTGAGTGGCTGCTGCCTAAAATTCTTTCCCATTCTGTGAGTTTTCGTTTCACTTGTTGGTGACTTTTTTTAAAGTACAAAACCTTTTGAATAGCGTGAGATCCCAGTCGTTGATTCTTTGAAGTACTTCCTGTGTGGTTTGTGTTTTGTTCATGAATTTTTGCCTACCCATATGTCTCTAAGATTTCTACCTACCTTGTCTTTAAGTAGATTTAGTGTTTATATTTTAATATTTAGATTTTTGGTCCATTTTGATTTTAGTTTTGTGCATGGTAATAGGCGTGGGTCTAGTTTTTGTCTTTGGCATATGAAAGCCAAATTCCAACATCATTTATTAAAGAGGCTATCCTTTTCCAGTGAACATGTTTAGCCCCTTTATCAAATATAAGGTAGCTGAGTCTTTGGAGTTGTATTTGCATCTTCTAATCTATTCCATTGATTATCAGGTTTTATTTCTTTGTCAGCATCATGCTGATTTTATCACTGCAGCTTTATAGTATAATTTTAAGTCAGGGATAGGTATGATTCCTGCCTTCGTTCATGCTCAGGATTGCCTTTGCTATTCAAGGGCTCTTCTGTTTCCAAATGAACTTTAGAAATGTTTTCTTTAGCTATGTGTGGTATGTTAATGGTACTTTGATTGGTATTGCATTGAATGTGTATAACAGTTTTGGAAGTATGGCCATTTTCAGAGTTTTGATTCTTCTCAACTAAGAGCAAAGAATATCTTTCTATTTTCTGACATCCTTTTAAATCTCCTTTTAAAGAGTACTATAGTTTTTAATGTATAGGTCTTTTACATCCTTTGTTAGGTTGATTCTTACGTGTTTTATTTTTTAGATGCTATTGTGAAATTATTTCCATAATTTCTCTCTCAGTGAATTTTCTGTTTGTGTACAGGAATGCTATTGAGTTTTGAGTGTTGACTTTGTATCCTGCTACACTGCTGAATTTGCTTATTAACTCTAATAGTCTTTTGGTGGAGTTTTTTGGGTGTTCTATTAGAGCATCATGTCACCTGTAAACAGTGATAATTTAACCTATTGCTTTTCTATTCTTACCCCTTTCATTTCTCTTTTCTGTCTAATTTCTCTGGCGAATGTTTCCAGAACTATATTACATAAGAGTGGTGATAGTGGACATCCTTGTCTAGTTCCTGATTGTAGAGTGAAAGATTTCAGTTTTTGTACATTTAATATGACGTTGGCTGTTGGCTTTTCATAGATGGCTTTTTTTCAGATTGAACTAGAGACCATCTATTTTGATCTTCTCTAGAGGTTTTACCATGGTAAAGTGTTGGACTATATCAAAAGCTTTTTCTTCATCTATTAAGGTGATCATGTGTTTTTTTTTTGTTTTTGGCTCTGTTTATCTGGTGTATTACATTTATTGATTTGCATATGTTAAACCATTGTTGCATTCCTAGGATAAATTCCACTGGTCATGGTCTATAATTTTCTTGATGGTTTTGCTGCATTCTATTTGCTCATATTTTATTGAGAATTTTTTGCCTTGATGTTCTTTAGTGAAATTGGCCTATAACTCTCCTTTTTGGTTTGGTCTTTCTCTGATTTTGGTATCAGAGTAACACTTGCCTCCACGAATGAGTTAGGGAGAATTGCTTCCTTTTCAATTTCATTAAAGACTTTGAGGAGTTTTGGAATAAAATATTCTCTAAATTTCTTCCAGAATTTAGCTCTGAATCCAACAGGACCTGGGATTTTCTTTTTTAGTAAGTTTTTAATTATGTTTTCAATTTTAGTAACTGATACTAGATTATTCAAAATTTTTATATCTTCTTGATTCAGCCTTGGTAATTTACATGTTTCTAGTAATCTGTCCATTTCCTCTGTGCTTTCCACCTTATGTAAGGAAAGATTTTCAAAGTAGGGGCAGGGATTTTGCCCAGTGGTGTAAGTGCCTGCCTGGTAAGCGTGAGGTGGTGAGTTCGATCCCTGGTACCAGAAAAAAATTTTTCAAAATAGGTATTCATGATCTTCTGAAATGCCACAAGATCTATAGTAATTTCACCCTTTTCATTCCTTATTGCACAAGTCTGGGTTTTTTCTTTCTTTTCCTTGATAAGGTTGACTAGGTGTTTATCAATTTAGTTGCTCTTTCAAAGAACCTACTCCTCATTAATTCTTTGTATTGTTTTCTTAGTCTCAATTGTATAAATTTCTGCTCTAATCTTCATAATTTCCTCCCTTCTGAGCTTTGGCCTTGCCTTGCTCTTCTTGATCATGTGTTTTTTGTTTTTGGCTGTGTTGATGTGGTGTATTACACTTATTGATTTGTATATGTTTTTTTAAAGCCATTCCTGGAATAAATCCCACTTGGTAGTGATGTATAATCTTCTTGATGATTTGCTGTATTCTATTTGCCAGTATTTTATTGAGAATTTTTGCATCGATATTCATTAGGGAAATTGGCCTATAGTTCTCCTTTTTGGTTGGGTCTGTCTCTGCTTTTGGTATGAGAGTAATACTTGCTTCCAGGAATGAGTTAGGGAGGAGTGCTTCCCTTTCAATTTCATTGAAGAGCTTAAGCAGTATTGGCATCAAACTTTCTCTAAATTTCTTTTTTTAAAATTTTATTTAAAAGGAAAAAGAGAAAAACACAGAACAGAACAAAGTGGTGTAAGGGTACATGTAATACAGAACTACAAAAAAAAAAGACAGTAAGAAATCACCAGTTAATAGATTACATATTATCATCTTAGAGATAGTTGCTCAAATCACAGTATCAAAGCATACAAAGTGGACATTCAAACAGTGAGACTGCAAACAGTTGTGTTCAATGATCCAACCAAAAACATTAATATGGTCAGCTATTTAACATCCCTAAAAACACTTGCTGTTGTATCCTTTAGAGTTCTTTTTTCCCTCTCTTTTTTACAACAAAATTTACACATTTTGGGTTTTCTTACTCCTTAGTTCTTATTACTTTTTTGGGGGGGAGAGAATAAAGTCAAATATGGCAAAACAAAGCTGTCAGTCAAAACCAAGAATAAACATGGCACATGATGTAAAACAGAGTACAAGGTTATCAACAATGGTTATCAACGATGTCTCTTGTTTCCTTAAAAAGAATTGTCTATCTCATTAGATATTATAAAGTTGAACAAAACAGTAGAGAACAAGACCAATAAAACTTAGGCATTGTAAACATTACAGGACTTCCAAAGGAGACAATAGTCAAACCAGCATGGGCATCTTAGTGAATCTTATTGTCTTCAAAGTAGTT